ATATATATATATATATATATATATATATATATATATATATATATATATATATATATATATATATATATATATAGTAAAATATTTTAGTGAAGGGGTAATATAGCAATAGGTGCATCCGCCCTTGACAACAAGCTTTTCTCACATTGCACTTGAAACACATGTTTTTTTTTTTTATTTATTTTTTTATTTTTTCCTGTAGGGATGATTCTTAGTGCTCATATATGTCATTTTACTAGTGCGTCAGACGCTATCCATTTACAGATCAATTATATCTTCGTTTTCGGTACTTATTTAACTTATCGAAATTGTTACTTTTGTTGCAAATGATTTTTTAAGACGATAGAATATATGGACTTAATGTAAAATCAAGACAAAAATGGTAACACTCTGATTACAAACAAAGATATCAAAAAATTGAAACTTCAGAGAAGCATCCAATATTGATGTGTTAGTATGGATGGAGCCAGGATTTAAAGTTTATGGGTTCGAAATTCTAACACTTTTACGTAATAATTTATACATATTAAATGAATTTCTTTACATTTCGACCAAAGTGATTGAGTTCGGCCGAACCGGAGTGCTAACACTAGCTCCACCCAAATGCGTTAGCAATTAAAAAAGACAGCTCGATGCATTAAGCTTCCATTATGTGCTTAATTGATTAGGTTGATGAATCAATTATGTCTGATTTAGCCTCTAGGTTTGCTCTTCAACTTGTGAAACGCATGCAATTCTGGCTCACCTCGTGTTATTTACACTAACTTAGAATTTTTTTTTGGAATGGACTCTCCACTAAATGATCTCTTTCAAGAAATATACATGATGTTTTAAAGATAAAGTCTCATATATGTGTGTGTTTTTCAGCCTAAAATAATATAGAGCAGCACCCCACTGCCAAAAGCTGCCCATCACTTGTTGGCACTATTTCCTCCTTTTCTTTGACTCCTTTTTTGCTGTTTTTTATTTTTATTTTTAATTTAACCATTGCGTATTGAAATCTCTTGTGGATAGGTTGTCTACATTACATTCTTTGGAGATACGGCTCTTACCGATCCTTCGTGAATATGGGATGACTTAGGCACTAAGCTGCCCTTCATTAGGTATTGAAATCAAATATTCGACTAATTTGAATTCACATTATGTAAATCTACTAATAAGTAAAGCACTCAATTTGGAGAAGTCCTTTGTTTTATATCACAAATTCTATATTTCTTGTTAAGGACAGTCCGGTGTACTAAGCACTCGCTCCGGAAAAGAGCGAAACCATAAGGACTTATTGTACGCAGCCTTACCCTGTATTTCTGCAAAAAAAGATATTTCAACCATCTCAATTTAATCCTGCTCATTCCTCATGCAGATAATAGTTCTACAACCGTCCCCGGGGGTGGATTTAGGGGGGGCGAAAGGGGATTCACCTGAACCCTCTTCGCCGAAAAATTACACTGTATATATAAAGCAAAATCTGGTTTTTATCTCTATATATCAAGTTTTGAACCTCCTTTAACACAAGCCATGTAGTTTAGTGGTCAAGGGGGTTCAAAGCCTTCATAAGGTCGTAGATTCAATTTCCACTAGCTACAAAATAAAAAAAATCACCCCGCTTCGTGGAGATCCTGCCTCCGCCACTCCCCTCTCCCAATTGAAGTCCTGTAGACCTGCTTGACTTAAAGTCTCAAGAACCCCACATGGAGTTAGAACTGAAGATCACAAGTAGTATGAAACGTGAACTTATAGCTAACAATACTGGAAATGTTAAGTTCAAACTTATAGCGCAGATGAGGTGTTTGTTTCTTTGCACAAGAGAGGGAATAGAAGATCACAGCAAAGATCCATCTTTTTGGGCAGGTAAGGGGCAATTGAGTAATGAACTTATTAAAGGTAAGGGTAGAGAGGAATAGATACTTGAGAGCAATGTGAGTGGATGTAGATTTAAGCGTGTATAGCTTCGTTTTGCCAACACTCAATATGGAATGCAAAATTTGTAGGCACACGTGACAATTTAGTAAGAAAATTTCAAGAATACTAAGTAGTACTATACTACTTGTCAAAGTTGAAGTAGGGTATGGGAAGGTATTGTCTGAATGAATGGATATTTGCATACTACCCCCCAATGGACCCTACACCACCCCGCCCCCCCCCCTCCCGCCCCCACAAGTGTGTGGGGTGTAGTGTTGGAGGTCACTAACACTCAATATATACACAAGCAAGCCAAGCAGTTAAGCATTAAGCAACCACAATCACAAATAGAAAATTAAGGAAGTTATAGAGAAGAAAATGGAGATGGAGAAGGAAATGATGCAGTCAAAGTTTAAGAAAATTTGTGTTTTTTGTGGGAGTAGTCCTGGCAAGAAGAGTAGCTATAAGGATGCTGCAGTTGAGCTTGGGAAAGAATTGGTGAGAAAAATGCTCTGTTTTTTCCTCTGTTTCTAACACTTTATGAACATAAACTCTGCATCTACTTCTAACTGTTACTCCCTTTGTCCTAATTTTTCTTACGTTCTTAAATTCCGTGTCCAATCAAATATAAAACGGAACAGAATGAGTACCTTTGCCAAATTTTGGAAACTAGGGATTGACTCTGAGAAGAATGGATTAATTGTTACACATATAATTTTATTTTTCCTTAATTATAACTAGGAGGACATAGCCCCCCCCCCCCCCCCTCCAAACACACACACAATGATGCATGTAAATTTAGCTTAAGGGGATATTTTGTTGCATGAAAAAAATGAGAACCTTGAGTCTTGATTCACTTTCTTATGAATTCATTTCTGAAGGCTCTGAGATTGAAAAGAGCATTCTTGAAAATTTTCTTTGATGTTATGCAAGTAGTGGTCATTAAGTAAAAAAAAGTAGCTTGGTGCACTAAGCTCCCGCTATGCGCGGGGTTTGGGGAAGAGTTGGACCACAAGAGTTTATAATACACAGCCTTACCCTGCATTTCTGCAAGAGGCTATTTCCACAGCTCGAACCCGTGACCTTCTGATCACACGGCAGCAACTTTACCAGTTACGCTAAGGCTCCCCTTCATTGGTCATCAAGTAATATTTAGGAATTGAAGGACCAGTTTTATATATACTACCCACCCCCACCTTAACTTTCCTGGTTAAAACTATAAAGAACTATGTATGATGTCCACTTCAGCTGTCTGACATTATTAATTTTGCTTGTATACAAGGTATCAAGAAACATAGACCTAGTTTATGGAGGAGGAAGCATTGGTTTAATGGGTTTGGTCTCTCAAGCTGTTTACAACGGTGGTCGTCATGTCCTTGGGTGAGTTATGCCTTTGCAAGTGCTAAACTCATACACATTTTTACACTATCAGATCACATACGACAAACAACCATTCATAAAAAGTGAGATTCGTAAATTTAAAAAAAGTACTCGTCATTATCTATTGTAACGGTTAAAATACACTGAATCTTTACGATATTAGTGTATATAAGTTAAATCTCTTGATTTATATGTTTCCTTTTTTACCTAAACATGAAAGCACAAATGTGAACCACTTGCTTTTAGTTTTGACATTGATTGGACTGATCACCTTTGTTAACTATAGTTAGTTTTGATCACACCTTTGGGTTCCTGACTATCTATTTTTATCATGTTCTTGTCTCCAGAGTGATTCCAAGGACTCTCATGCCTAGAGAGGTATGTTTTTGTTTTTATTTTGGTCATATTATAGCATTTTGTAAGTTTTTTTCTTAACTTCTGCTTGCATAAGAGAGGAGGGAAAGGAGAAACAAAGATATTTAGTATATTTGGTTCTTATTCTTTTGAATTGTAGTGTGTTTCAATCGTGTGGTAGGCTATAACTTGAATTTTTACCTCACCTTTATTATCTTTGGACATTGTTTTTGCACTTGTCGGCATGGGCATATCCCTAAAGTGCAAGATGGGAATTTTGTTAGTATTTAGTTTGCTAGTATGTGGTTTATTTTGCTTGCCATTTTTCTCTTTAAAAAATCCATCCCTTTCTTTGTCTCCTTCCTTTCCTTTTCCTTTCTTCTGGTCCCCCTCATTGTAAGAAGATAGGGTCCTCTTACTAATTTATACATCAAATCAAAATGAAAAGAAAAAGGAGCTAAAACCAAATCAGTGGTACTATGTTCTTGTACATGTATTTCTACATCATAAAAAACGGCTCGGTTCACAAAGCATCCCGCGTTCACGCAGGATCTGGGGAAGGGCCGCATCCTAAGGGGTGTAATGTAAGCAGCCTACCCTGATGCAAGCATCACTGGCTGATTCCACAGCTTGAACCTATTACCTGTAAGTAACATAGAGACAACTTAACCGTTGCTCCAAGGCTCCCCTTTGTATTTCTACATCGTAAAATACCAAATATGTTCATAAATCACAATTGCACCAAATTTCACAAGAATCAAACAATAAGTAAAGGATTTAAGTTGTATACATTAACTGTGTAAAGATATATTTTTTACACGATTAATGTAGTTTAACCTATTATAATTGGTAAATTACTATCGTTTTTAGGTTACCAATTAATGTGTATCATATAAATTTACATGTAATTAATTGTTAGTGCATAGAGCTCGAACTCATAGAAAAAAAAGTATAAGGCTTGTTCAGTCATTGAAATTTCACTACTATACAGCTTGACCACATGCAATGTTGAGTCCACTAATCCCCCACAATATTGGTGGATTTAGCATGTCATGGGTCCATTTTTAAGTTTTCCAATCAAATGAATATTCAAATTAAACAGTGTAATGATATAGGGAGTGACACTTATTGCCTTTGCCCTCACATCAGTTCCCCAAGATGAAAGCAAGGGTTTAGAAGTTAGAAACCTCATCATCTCCTTTTTGTTCTCCTTCCTTTTGTCGTTTTGTTCCATTTTATATTCTTTCAATTTTGTCCTACTATTGTTACATTATGTGTAAATTTTGCTATGACAATGTGCTTGACCTTGAAAGGAAGTCTTGGCATAACTGGTAAAGTTGTTGCCATGTATTAGGAGGTTGCAGGTGACTCGTGGAAATAGTCTCTTGGAGAAATACAGGATAAGGTTGCGTATGATAGACCCTTGTGGTCCGGCCCTTTCCCGAACCCTGTGTTTTTTTTATGTCCTTGCACAATCCCCTGTGTATCAAAGAAGATACCCCTACCAATCCTTTATTGAGATATTCACTTTATGTGTGGAGTAGCTAAGTTTTTAGTGGTTTGGATTGACTTGGTGTGTGGGTATTTTTTGCATTGACTTGATTCTTTCTGTTATACAAAGACTAATAATAGTGGTGTACGGCCTACAGATAACTGGTGAAACAGTGGGAGAGGTGAAAGCAGTTGCAGATATGCACCAGAGGAAAGCAGAGATGGCCAAACATTCTGATGCTTTTATTGCTTTACCTGGTTTGTTCTCATTCTCCCTTCCAAGATTCTTGCCCATTTTTCACCCCATTATCTTTTCTTCCTTTCTTTGACTTACTATAATAAGTTAAAATACGCTGATTGTGTAAAAGAAATATGACAATGTAAAAAAGGGCAGCCCGGTGCATTAAGCTCCTGCTATGTACGGGTTCAGGAAAGGGCCGGACCACAAGGGTCTATTGTACACAGCCTTACCCTGCATTTCTGCAAGAGGCTGTTTCCACGGCTTGAACCCGTGAGCTCCTGATCACATGGCAGCAACTTTACCAGTTACGCCAAGACTCCTCTTCCAATGAAAATTTCAGTGTATATAAGTTAAATCCATATATAGTTAATCCAAAAACATTAACTGAATTGATGTTAATTTAAACTTACTTTGAGGGCCTAAATTGGTCCTTTCAAGTGTAGTCTATATCAATGAAAAAATATATTTGCATTGATTAAGGTGGCTATGGAACTTTAGAAGAACTCCTTGAAGTTATAGCTTGGGCTCAACTTGGAATCCATGATAAACCAGTAGGACTACTGAATATTGATGGTTACTACAATTCCCTTTTAACATTCATTGACAAAGCTGTGGAGGAAGGTTTCGTCTGCCCTAACGCGCGCCAAATTTTTGTATCAGCCCCGACTGCCAAGGAACTTATGAATAAACTCGAGGTAAATATTATTTTATGTTGACCAACTTGTTTGGGACTGACACGTATTTGTTGTTTTCGACTCCTTATGGATTTTTTTTTTTTTGTTTGAAGGAGTACTCTCCGAGCCAAGAAAACATTGCATCAAAACTAAATTGGGAAAAGGAGGAGCTAGAATATCCTCCCAAATGTCAGATGCCATTAAGATAGTCTATTAGGAAAATCAGCAGAAGCAAAGAAGATGGTATTAGGAAAATCAGCAATTTATAGTAACATGATTGCAGATATCCCTAACTCTTCTCAGACCTTTCTGTCTATATGAAGGTTGTCAATTGACATTGATGAGATTCTCGTGTTAGTACATGCCTTAGGATTATGCTCGAATTCTTGAATTTCCGAGCAAACTATGTTCATACAAGTCTACTTATTCCTTGTATTCTGGATAATTATAGTTTATTTCTTGATAAATTGTAGTGCTACATGTAGAATTATCAAGAAGATATGCAAAAGCAGCTATCAAACATGATCATTTTCTTATGAGTTCATTCTAAATATAAAGAATATTTATAGAATGAAGTTACTTAAATGTCAACTATCCGTTATTTAAATAATGATCAGTATTCTAAAAAGAGAGAATAAATAATCTAATGTAGCTTGTCAAACTACACTTTTTACACTATTAATCATAAAAACTTAATTCCTTGTTATTTGTTCTTCCCTTCTTCATATCTTTAATCTTTTCCTCTCTTTTTTCCTTTTCCCAATACCAAACTTGGAAAAAGGATACTTAAACCAGAGAAATACAAAACATCTCTATGAGCGACAAGTCAATTTTTCTAATCGATCTTTTTTTTTTTTAGTTTTCCACCTGGTATCTCTGTCGTACAGACTCGACTAATCCAGATTCACAATGCGTAAAGCCCATTAAAGAGGAAAATGCTCGGGTGAAATTCAAAAATAGCCACATTTATAAGTGGTAATTGAAAAATTGTCATAGTTTCAAAATAATCGAAATTTAGCCACTTTTCATGTAAAAAGAAATCTGAACGAAAATATTGTTTAAAATCCGAAAAATATTATACCATAATATAATGGACTTCCAGCATAATATACTGGACTTCCAGCATAATATGCGGGAAGTTCATACACATGTGCTCTAATCTCCAGTATATTATGCTGGAACTTTCCGTGTGTTGGAGTTCCAGCATAATATATTGAAAGTTCATACACGTGTACCAATCTCCAGTATTATGCTGGAACTTTTCGTGTTGCAGCAAAATGGTGGCTATTTTTCAATGACTTTGCAACGCTGGCTATTTTCCAATTACCAGTCCGAAAACTGGCTAGCCTGTGCTATTTCACAAAACGCTCCCTATCGAATATTTTTGGGGTATTATCACTTTTAGCAGCGCTAGAAACTATTTATATCTGGTAGCCAAAAAAGTGTATAAAACTTGTATAATTTTTGCATATAACATACAGAATATATATATATATATATATATATATATATATATAACATTTTTCGGCTATTATCTTTGAGTGATTTTTTGGCTATTATTTTTACAGCGGCTATACAGTATCATTTTTCCAATTTTTTTCTATTTTCTAAAGCTTGAACTCGAATTCTCTAATTTAGGTAAAAATTGCACGGGGCGCCCTATTTGGTCGCCCCCAAACCTATACCCATTTTTTTTAAAGTTTTAACTTGTACCCACTTTTTAAATAACTTCAGTCCCCTTTCTCCTCCTCCTTCTCCTCCTCCTCCTTCGTTTTCTTCTTCTTCTTCTTCTTCTTCTTCTTCTTTCTTCTGCTGCTGTTGGTGCTGCTATGAAACTTCAGTTCATGGGATGACTTCCATAAGTATGTTTATCAGATTATTTAAAAATAAATTATAAATAATTACGTAATTTAGTAGACAATAGTTTGTGAATATTTCCACGTACGTGAAGTTTAAGGTCACACTTAGTGATTCTTTTCATGATAATTTTGTTCTTTTCACGTTTATTGTTTCAAAAATTTATGATTTAGATATTCTTGGCAATCTGATTATTTATAGTAGTAATACACTATGAAAGAATAAGGTGATTATTTATCTAGTATGTTAGAAAACTTTTTCAAAAACTTCGGCTTATATAGTGCTGAAGTTTTTACAAATGTACTAAATAACTTCAGCATCTTTTGCTGAAGTATTTGAAAAAGCTTTATGATAAAACTAATGAATCTAGGAAAAAAAAACTTCAGCTTATTTAGTGCTGAAGTTTTTACAAATGAACTAAATAACTTCAGCATCTTCTGCTGAAGTGTTTGAAAAAGCTTTATGACAAAACTAATGAATCCATGACAAAAAAAACTCCAGCTTATTTAGTGCAGAAGTTTTTACAAATGAACTAAATAACTTCAGCATCTTCTGCTGAAGTGTTTGAAAAAGCTTTATGACAAAACTAATGAATCCAGGACAAAAAAAACTTCAGCTTATTTAGTGCTGAAGTTTTTACAAATGAACTAAATAACTTTAGCATCTTCTACTGAAGTTTTTGAAAAAGCTTTATGACAAAACTAATGGATCCAGGACAAAAAAACTTCAGCTTATTTAGTGCTGAAGTTTTTAGAAATGAACTAAATAACTTCAGCATCTTCTGCTGTAGTTTTTGAAAAAGCTTTATGACAAAAGTAATGAATCCAAGACAAAAAAAACTTCAGCTTATTTAGTGCTGAAGTTTTTACAAATGAACTAAATAACTTCAGCATCTTCTACTGAAGTTCGTATTGCCTTTGCTATTTCAGGCTTGTCTACTAGAATGCTGAAGTTTTGCGTGATTGCCCTTGCTGTAGCACCACAATACCTCAACCCAGGTTTACCACACGAGACTCGAACATAAGACCGCACTATCTAAGACCAATAAGCCACTGAATACTCTCTCAAATGTTCCCAGAAGTACCACATTCCAGAATACATTACTTGAAGAACTTCCTGCGAATCTGAATTCGTTACCATTACTTTCCAGATACCGATACATAGGATCCCATAATCAACATAAAAATACCACAAGCCTTGATCCTTTTCCAATGAAAACACAGTCTCTACCCACATACACAACCTTAAGACACCTGATTGCTACATGTAGAATCTTTAACACATTACAACCATTCTCGAGAGTCATTTACTCCTTATTCGAACTGCAATTTACCTGATCAAACGGACATAACCACCCGTGCCTCATTAGCACTCTAACGCCGGAGGATATGATCTCATTCCAATACAAACAAACATCTTCCTTCTCTATACACTGAGCATTCTTTATCAACAACAGCTCAAGACATCCTATTAGTTTCACACATCTACGAAGCACCATATAACCTTTGTCAAAATTTTGCTTCACTCGTGCCATCATCGGCTCAATTTCTTCAACCAGAACTGATCCGCCAGCATACCTCGAAACGGAACCATCATAGCACATAACCGTGCGATCAGCTAATCAACAGCAACCTCCCCAACTTGGCTCGAAGCCATATATCAGGACACACTCAATAACCCATAATACTTTTACTCTAATGATGTCACCATATCATAGTGAGATTAGAATCAAATCATCTACCAGTTCGTGAAAACACAGATCATCTAGTACTGTAATCCTCTGCAAACCTCGCATTCGTTCCCACCTCAGTTGAGTCCACTCTCTTAAGCGACCCGAATTCTCAAATTTCAACACGTACCCTTCAATTACACATGAGATCTTCTAACATACGCATAAGGATCATACCACTTAAGAACACTCTGCGGGGGATAACCCATCTGCTTCGCCTCAATTTAGTACTTCAGCATACCTTCCACCATCATATACGTTTCACAGTCAACTTAGTCTTCCTGAGTCTGAACTCATACCGCCACATGTATTGCACTTTACTTTCCAACTAGGTGACACGAAAATATTCTTCACGCGCCCATATTCGGGCTACACATCAAATCACAATAGGAAATGAATCACTTAACAGTTCGTCTATTATCCAGCAGGCTTCTTCATCACTACCAAGTCATCTAAATACATCTCAGAGTATTAACATACTCATCACATGAATACCAAACCGCCATTCCGGCTAATAGGGACAATACCGAACATATAAGTTCGAAACACTTGCTCACACGATCAGCACCTCAGTGCTCAAGCCATAGGCAAGATTCGGCCTCAAGTCCTCCAGACTGGCCCAACATCAAACTCACGGAGATTTCATCTCGCCCCTTGATCGGGGAATCACAAGCCATCGAGGCACATATAATACTGAGCGCTCACGTGCGCATACAGACGTGTGGATATCACAAGCTGAATCAAGTACGCACGATAAGAATTCCAAGAATGTGAAGTTTTCCTAAATGTTCTACAGCCTCTCGAGGATAAATACAGACGTCTCCATACCGATCCGCGAGACTCTACCAAACCTGCTCATGACTCGTGAGACCTAGTAACCTAGGCTCTGATACCAACTTGTCACGACCCAATTCCCAACCCAGTCGTGATGGCGCCTCTCGTGAAGACAAGGCCAGCCAACAGAACAACAACGCCTCTTTCAAAATTTTTTAAACATAAATGATTAGATAAATACAACTTAATGACAATAACAATCGATATATATACGACCCAACACAGCCCGACCGGGGTGTCACAAGTCACGAGCATCTAAGGAAGTCTGAACACGACCACAGGGTCAATAATATACAGAATAAAGTTTAGAATCAAAAGACGAAGTCCGGTGCCGCGAACGCCGGCGGTCACCTTGCTCAGCTACGATAGCAAATCCTCAACCAGCTCAAACCCGCTACCGGGTAACCAATACCTGCATCTGCACGCGAGGTGCAGGGAGTAAAGTGAGTACTCCAACTCAGTGAGTAATAAAGGTAAATAATAACCGAGCAGCAAGAAATCACGAAAGGCACTCCATCATGCTATATAGAACAGTGCTACCCTTTGAGAAAACAGTAAAACCGTGAAATCTTTTAGAAAATCTATCCGGGCTCAGTTAAAACCTCTTTTGAAAATGTCTTTTTCAACAGTTAAGCAAATGAATGCGAAACAGATAGTGCAAGTCAGCACATAAGTCAGCCCCTCGGGCACAGCACTCCATCAACAAATAACACCAGGGTATCAGGTAAGCAGTGCAAGAAGTAACATAGAAGCCAATGAAATGCAAGTGCTGAATGTCATGACACGTAATACAAACAGGAACCAATGCATGAGTGCAATGCAATGCATATGACCGTTGTGGCGTGCAGCCCGAGCCATCCATATTTAACGTCGACGGCGCTCACTAGGGGTGTGTACAGACTCCGGAGGGGCTCCTACAGCCCAAGTGCAATATCAAGCCATCTCGTGGCATCAACCAGGCCCTCGGTCTCAAAATCAATGTAACACCGCTGCGGCGTGCAGCCCGAGCCATCCATAGTCCAGAAATGCACATGTAACATTGCTGCGGCGCGCAGCCCGATCCATGCTCAGTCCAAAAATGCACATAAGCCACTTGGGCAATACAACATGGTAGTTCTC